AGCATTGCGTAGGAAGTTGTTTCTTAACGTAAAAGGTTCATTAGGGTATGTTAGGTCAGTGACGTCCTCTGGTCCTCACGAAGTCCAAATAAGATGTATTGACGTCTCTCTGATCAATAAATTGGAATTGAGCGTCAAAAGCTACCACATAATGCAAGTTCTCGAGGCAAAAGCAGCTTGGTTTCGACCTCAGTCTGACTTTCATAGCTGACCCAAAGTCAGTGGAATAAGCCATTTTCCTCAGTTGGAATGTCTAGTTTTTTAAGGAAATATGTCAAATATGTATGGATTTGTGTAAGAATTCGTTGTCCAGTGAACTGAACGGTTCCCTAGGAATTGCCTTTGCTGGTAGCTATGGGCTGACTTTGATCCGCCATAGTGAAGCAATCTTACAAGGTACTGGCTATGCAATTGCCTGCAGCTACCAAGTTTTGCACAGTTACGTTGCACCCATTTGAAGATTATTTCGGAAAGCTTTTGAGAGGCTCAAATTGACCCTACCTGAGCGCGTGTTAATAATGACCTGAAATGGCATGTGTTAAACGAGACGAGCAAGGGAAACTGTCGCCAGGTCAATACAGTTTACGACGTTTTTGCGTGCCTGTCCAATTAGTGCAATGCTGCCAACGAAAATGGTTGCGAGGAAGAGCACACATTCATAATGGCCTTAACCGCATTTTTCTGCTGGAAGGATTCTTGGGGACACACAAATTACTTTTATCTTAAAGTTGGTCGCATTACGCACCAATGATTTACTTGAGTCTAGGTTCCCATGAGTGTTCTTCTTTTTACCTGCCAGGCTGGAGGAATTTAAGCACGCCTAGAACATATAGTGCGTAAAATTTGCGACAAAGTTGTGGCGTTTCTGTGAAGTAAATGCTGCAAACGTATTGTAGTGAAAAGGCATGCAGTGAAGAAAACCTAGGTCTTCTCTTCAGCCCGACATCTTCGATCATCATGGCACACATTCCTATAATTGTGCATGCTAATGAAACAGATGGCTGATGTCTCAATCTGATGGTTGTAATATGCGTAACTGATCAATACATGTTTAGCAAAGCTCTCAGGCAGGGAAAAACAGTGCTGGTATCATGTGAGGACGTCTAGAGCAGAAATTAGGAATCGCTGAATTGACCTCCATTGTATTGTATTACCAACAAAGTATGCCGCATACACACCAACACACGTAGGTCACGCAGGCAATAAATATACGCATAGTTTCATTTCATTTTACCTCATATGTACAAAACCAACGTCAAGATCGGAAAGGCTATTATTTCCCTCGAATAATGGGTTTGTACATGAAGTAAGAAGTAAATCATGTATGCATCTATAGTTCCTCACTTATCACAAGATATCGTGAAGAAAAAGAAGGGGATCGTTGTGCACGACGTGAAGTTACATGTCGTGTGAAAGACACACTTTTGTGCTGCCACTCGGTACAGAATGCGGCTGCTCGCGCTCATTCTTTGGACGACAGTCCCGCCATCTGATGTAGAGCCGGTAGCGTCATCTATTCAAGATCATGCCAGACGCGGGGCTCAGAAGCCGTACGACTGTCCGGGCTGGGCGACGTTCCCTTCGGGTCCGGACGCGGCTCCGGCGAGGTTCGCCTCTCCTTCGTACTGAAAACACAATGTCCGAACGTCAGGCCGAGGTATCTCAAAAGAGAGGGATATATATATATATTATATATATATATATATATATAATATAACACTCCTTGGATAGTTGGTGAGTATATAGCAGGCGCATTTTTCTTATGTACGTTTTAACTGGCGTGTGGCTCTCCTGGCATTTCGCAAGTGGTGTGATTCATAATGGATAAGTGTCCTTTACAAAGCATTACTAATATTTTTTGGATATGCGTCAAAAAATTCGACCAAAGCCAACGCAAAAGTGGAAATGCAAACCTGGATGTCGACAACGAAGCCGGAGTCTCCGTCCACGGAGTAGTTGACGATCTGCATCCTGCCGTCCGGCATCAGCACGTAATAGGAGCCCGAGGTGCTGTCACCGTCTCGGGTCTCCTGCTGACCGAAGTCGTTGCCGCTCTCCTCGTCCTTCACCGCGTACTCAAAGTTGTATGCCGCCGGCTCCTGTAAAGTAAGTACGGGATGAGCATTATGCTGAATTATTGAGCGCTCTACTTGCAACTTGTACCTTGGACGGAGAGTAATATCGTTCCGCTTCGTTGAACCCGAATCGCTTTTCCTTGGTAATAAAACAATTAATGCGCACACGCTCCGAGCTTCCAGATATATGATTGGCAGCACTTTTATCCTGGTTTCGCAATATTGACAAAGGATGTGCTTTAGCTTGGTAACGAACGGTCAGATCCTCAAACCCATACTTATTTCTTGTCGTCACAGACAAGTACAGCATCTCAGCGTGAGGCGGTCTTTGAGCGCGTCACGACGCACCAGTCAGCGTGTGTTACCAAGGAGAGCTCCACCAGTCGCGGCCTCGCTGTCTGGACAGCCATCACTCAGCCATCAGCCAACACAGAGCAGCCAGTACTCACGCCAGCCTCAGCGATGTTGGCCTCCGGTGAAGACGCGGCGCCTTCGGGGGCACCGTAGCCGGAGGCGACGCTGGGCTCGGGGCCGGAAGCTGCTGCCTGGGGCGCGCCGTACCCGTTGGAGGGGGCCGATCCGTAGCCCTGCGGCGCAGCCGCTGCCACAGCCAGCACGGTCGCCAAGACGAACAGCTGCTGGCCACACAAGCGCGTCAGTGTCTGTTGGCGCCGGACAGATGTCATCATCTCCTAGTGCGAGGCAGGTAACGTCACTGTCAGCTGGCTAGGAGCATGAGATGATGATGCGCTAAAGAGGAGTGCGTGGATTTGGCGTCATCTAGCGCGTCCCTGACCAGTAATGCCGTTTCTGTGTGGATACGGAGAACGCAAGCGACATCGGTAGGCGCGGGATCAAATGTCTGACGCGTTATCTGGGTGCATGTGGGAGACGCGGCAACCGCATATTTTCAATACAAGCCTAGCTGAATTATGAAATTTGGTCTGGACTGATCATGTTGGCTGTGACTCCTGTATGCCGAGCACATAAGTGACCGATTTTTCTCGGCATGTTTTCGTTGAGGGAGGAATTTTATATTTGCCGTTATGACGCAACAAATATGTGCAAAATTCGACTTGCGCGTCATATTTCAAGCATTTCGCTTACGGATCCTAAGGCAATGTTCTTTTAGCTAAAGTTTTTAATTGCGTCAACCTTGAGTTAAGCAGTAAAAAAAAATCAGGACCGTCTTTGAGGTCTTCTCACTGCCTCCCGCCCATCCCCCCTCTTCCCACTGTCTCCCCTCACCCAAACCATTCCAAAAACAAAACAAAACGTGTTCTGAAAAAGCAATGCGACGAAAATGTTGGCTTTGTAAGATAATCCTTCGCTGAAGGCCCACAGCACTGTCAATCCAGGCACCACATCCTGAACTTCACCAGACACGTCCGGTAGATGGCGCAGTCACCGGCGCGGTGTGAAAGCAGCGCCCGCTCGCCGACCCGCGCCACCGCGAGGGGGCCAGCCACTCACCTTCATGTTTATAAATCGGAGGTGTTTTCGTGCGCGTGCCGACTGCGTTCAACTGGTGGCCTGCAGGTGACCGAGCGACGCTTTTATAGCGGCTCGTCGGCAGAGCGAAGGTCACGAGCCCCCGGGCGGTGACGTCAGAAGCAGGGCGGCCGACGCGGCCGGTGAGGGGGCCGACGCAGCGCTGACGCATCCCACCAGCGCCCTGGCAAGTCGACGCGATTCGTCATGGCGGAACGGGCGCCAGCGGCGCCGTTGCCACAGGCCTGTCGACCCCGACGCCCGACGCAGAGTTATGTGTTTGTGACCGGCGCCGAGGAGGCTCTGCCGAGCTGCAAAAACGCCCGCCGCGAGAAACCGGATCGGACGCGCCAGGTCCCAACGGGACGGGTCCTGCCTTCATGGCCTGTGTGTGGACCGCGTTAAGTGCTGAGCCGGGTACGGCTGGCGCGGCGAGGTCGCAGGCCAAGAGGGGCTGCTCGGCTGACGGACAGCTCTCTTTGAGCAGTCCGTCGCGGCCCGGCTGACGCATGCCAGCCATTTCGTTGTTATCGGTTGTTTTATTTTATGTGTTTTGATGTCACCATATCTTGATTATTGCGTGTGGAATGCTCGTCACAGGCTTGCGCAGCTCTTGCAGTGCTAGGATTTTGCAGAAAATGAGGAAAATTCGCCTCCAGTGACGCCTTTTTGGCTCCCTTTGGCTGGCAACTGACACTTCTTGTCTAGTAGCTCTGACGCTGTGGAGTGTTCGCATAATGAGCATCATCGCTGCCAGAGACCATTTTGAGAGAACCATTTGGGGCCAAAGTGACTTAGGGAAAGCGATGAAATACCCGTCCATTTACTGTGGTCTGAGTCTGAAAAACCGTTCAAAGAAGCGCCATGAAGCATTTTATAGCGCACCAGTACGCCGTCGTAAATGAATATTTTGAATGTATGGTCGACTAGGGTCGGTTAGTTGCGTGCCACAAAAGGCTGCAGCCGATCTTTCACTGGAAGCAAAATTCTGAGACGGCAAGCTGAGCCGACAATATCGTTAGCCCCTCACGATAGCCAGACTGGCATGGCAAACGCAAAAGACAGCTTAGAATTAGGCACGCGGCGCTGGGATGGAGCAGCCGCTGAACCTGTGACCAGGGGCGATAATGTGCCCCTAATGTTCTACCCACGGGGCACCCTGCCGGAAAACGATGAGGAGCTCATTAGCCTGCGCCCGGCCGGGTGTCTGAGTCAACCACGCCCGGTCGGGGGAGAGCAAGTTGACTTTCCCCCAGTGATCTCCAACTTTCAGACGCCGTGTAAGAAAAACAAAGATACCGTTGTGAAGGTCTCGACAAATCATGAAGAATTTCTACTAAGTTTGTTTAACCTTGAACTAACTATGAGGTAAACAGAGACCACGAAAGGACAAAAGCATCGTTTGGCCTCTACCTTTAGTCTCTCCGCTGCTGACAACATAGGTTATTGAGCTTGGATGACCTCATATAACTTGGCATGTCCTCCCGTGACGTATTATGTCCTCATTGAGTATCATAATGATATCACGTGCTGTCAGCGGCGTATTCGAATTATGTGTCCAAAAGTACCTAAAAAACAGCCCATTTTTAGTTCGGCGTGCGTTTTGCATAAGGCACCCACAGCGGTTAGTAATGACCTGGGTTAAGGTCATGTTCTCTATGGTTATATGATGACTATACATGTGAGTTTTCTCTTTTCCTCATATACAAACACCAAAACCACACAAAAATGGGTTCGAATTCTCATTATCTACAAAAATGGCACGAGCTGACCCGCTTTCAGGCTACTGAACATGCCTGGTTCGAAACATTTAAACATAGAAAGTGTAGGTACTATCATTTTATATAACTGCAGCAAGTTTTAACAATAGCAAATCACCCACAAAAAGGCTATGTGTGTTCAAACGCTTTTAGACGCTGACCTCTTTGATCTCACCAATCCGAACCGCATCCGAACTTTAAATACCCATGATGGATGACAAATTGGTGCACAAATTAACAAATGACGTAGGTTATTCAATGCATTAAGGAGGAACATTATGGACATAGATAAGACAGCAGTATCAGCCTTAGTACTCGGAGAAAAGCCAGGAGAATGGAAATATAGTTGGGTTGGCATTTCGGCAACATGCCTTTATTGAAACAATGGCAGAAGCAGAAGAAGACTCCTGCTATTGTTTCAATAAAGGCATGTTACCGAAATATCTACCCGACTATATCTCTATTCCCCTGGTTTTCTCCAAGGAATAAGGCTAATACTACTGTCTTCTCTATGTCAATTGGCAAATAGATCACTGGCACTTAACACTTCGTGTGGCTAGCTGCCAGCACTGGTTTTTGACCTGTGTTCGAAAACCGTACTGGGGAAGTCAACTCCACCTCCCCGGCTGTGTTCAGCGGAGCGGATCCGAGTCAAAAAGCTATGTTTGCCTGATAACGTTAACCCTTTTGTAGAATCTACTAGTGTAACAAACAGCATGCCAAGTTGTGACCATGTGCTCTGGCAATCTTAGGAGCAAGAGCAGGGATGACCGGGGTTTCAGGTTCCGTAAAACTGAACGGCGTTGGCAGTTGCAAATAACATGAGGCGGTGGGCGCCGGGCGCGAGAACAACCGAATTAAATCATGCTTCCAAAAGTCTTTCTATATCAATTCGCACAGTTTAAAGACCGGACTGGGGGCGTATATTTCACCTGTATGATTTCAAGGTTCTTCCCTGTGCAGACTGACAGTTACAGCAACACTAAGATTCTATCTTTACTCTTCATGTTCCAAAACTGGACTCCAGCATCAGTTCGCTCCGCTGAAACTGATAATTATTTCCGATTGGTTGATGAACGGATTGAAAGGCTTTTAAAGCTTTTTTTGAAACGTTCCCATGAAGTTTTAATGTATACCAAAAACTCTGGTAAAAAGGTTGCCATGCAATTCATTGATAAATGGCACACAACAGGTAAGCCACCCGTATCCAACTAAGAATAAACTCGTTACATTGAACGAGATCCTTTAAAGACCCTCCTTCATCATATGCCTTTAATTCACCCAAAATTATGAGAAAATACTGGGCCTGGGAATCAGTACCGTGCAACGGTCGAAGGCATTAGTTGCCGGCTGCCCCATTATTGTCGCATGGGTGCTGCGTGAGGCAAGACGAGCTTTGAGGATCAAGGATAAGCATCTTGGACCATGTTCATGCATATAAGCCCTGTGAGCTCTGTAAGTACGGTAAGCAAGCTCTGCCAGCGTTGCAAGTAAGCTCTGTAAGCACTGCGTACCTATGAATAGGGGCGCTACAAGGAGGGAAGAGCTTTTGTCGCACCATCTCACTCGATGTCTTTAATAAGCCTCGAACAGTTTTGACAGGAAGAGATCTGTCATCATCCCTGTCGATAAAAACATGGTCTCGCTTACAGCCAGCTAGCCGCAATTTTATCAACTTATGCGCCTTTACAGACGTGTTTTTAATCTCTGCGAAACATTTCTAAACTAAAAGCGCTGATAGAAGGTGCTTGGCCGGAACATAAGCAATGAAGATTGTCTAAGTTGTAAGGCGTTGTGCACCGTAATCCTTCGTGAAAACGGTTTTCATTAATATGAAACTCGCACAGGCAAAATTATGCCCGGAATACTACCGTCATATCCGACTTGACGTCCTAAGCGGCTCAAACTTACTTCATTCAAATATTTCGTCGTTTTTATTTGGCCTTTGGCAGCCGTCCATTGTTGGCCGCGACGTCCATGCCGCGCGGCCTATGAAGGCTGCAACACCGGGCGTCGGGTTCTTATTTCTTAGACTTGCCTATAATTTTCTTAGTCACACTTATCAGCTCTGACTGAAGGTTGAACACCTCAGACTACATGGGCTGTTCATGTGTGATTAAAGTTTCCCACTCCATTTTTTGCATAAAATTAAAGTTTACGAGGCCCTCAAGATCTTCGAGGAACTTAGCAAAAATCGGCAAAACCTTTCAACCAAGCCGTTATGAAGCGAAAAGCACTGGCTGCTTCCCCATAGTCATGTAATGGCTGATTTTTTCAGTTCAATTAGTTGAAAAATAGTATTGCTTAAATTGCGATATCTTTTGCTTTCAGTTCCAGTATAAAAATAGAAATAAAATGCACGGAAAAAAATTGTATCTCCTCGAAATCGAGTGCACCATATCCGTTGATTTTTTCGGGAGAAGTCCTTCACCATCAGGGGCTGTGGCGTGGCTCTGGCTGCGCACCAGCACTTGAGCATTAGGGTCATCATCATCCTGGACCACAGCATTCAGCCCTTGCTTCCACTGACAAATACTGCTCCTTATAGTGTTAAGTGACACTTCATCCCGTGCGGTCAGGATATAAGTCCAGACTGGGCAGTTTCAGACGCCTTGGCCGGTACACTTCTTCCAGCAGCGCATTCCAGAAACAGTAGTCCAGAGGATTAAGGCCGGGGAAGTTTGGAAGTCACTCGTCTTGTCTGATGAGGTGGCAGCGTCCAGTGAGGAGCTCCTGCGTATCCCGGCTCGTGTGGGAAGAACGACGTCCTGCTGGAAAATGAAGCCGGCAAGGTGGAGCTTCTTACAGGCTGCCTGCCGCTTCTCTTGCAGAAGGCGAAGGTATGCAGCCGAAACGACCTTTGTGTTTGGGATGCTCAAAAGAAAAGCTTTGCTTTTGCTCAGCAACATCCCAGCACTGAACATCACTGTCATCTTTCTTTTTTTGTGGTACAGTCGGCTAGTTGGAATCTCGCTCTTCTTGTCGCTCTTGCAGGCGTGGTCGTTCTCTGCATTCAGCGGTAGCTCAAGCGTAAGATCCTTCTCATCGGTGAAAATCATGTCCTTAACCTTTTTGTCGCCAATCCTCTGGAATAGGGTCCTAGCCCGGAGCTCCCGTGTCTGACCTACAACCCCGCACAACGAGGAAATTGTAAGTCTGAAATGGCTTCATTTTCTTGCACATGAGGTACCGCTGAAAGCTCAACATGGAGGCCCCCTTGCCTCGTCTTACTGCGCTGGATCTGGTGAGTTCCAGGTGGGCCTTCTTGAAAGCAGGTCTGTTCCTCCACTTTGGTCATCTGTTCTTCGG